AAACGCCACAGGTGCTGTGCGGAGAACTGGCGCCCCCGACCGCAGTCGCGGCGCCAGCAGCCTGAGGGAAGTGCTGTGACTGGACGGCCGAGACCCCCAGTCATATGCACCCCCCTGGGACGAACCCACAGGCCACCCCGCCGGAGCGGGGCCGTCGTAGCCGCCCCACCGGAGCGGGTCTGCATACGCTCGCTGGTTATGTTAAAACCTTATAGGAGGGCTGAGGGTTGTGGTTCTACAAAAAAAGTTTAATAAAGTTATAGTTTAAAGAAGTTTGTATTAAGGTTGAAGAGTAAGTGTGGGCAGGAGCATTATTCATTATACTCTAATATATAATATCATTATGGTTATTGTTATTAGTGCTATTATAACTTTTACCCGCAGCCCCCCTGCAGCCTGTCCTTGATACATATTTTATATTAAGATCAATTACACATATTGTCACAGTTGACACTACCAACTGCTACAGAGAGAGTTAGCCAGGGGCCCAAAGTTTTTCTATGGGTCCCCATAATTTGTAGTTACGCCGCTGCTTGGAAAGTATACAAGATACAAGGAAAGATGTCCATCTTAAAAAGTGCAATACGGCCGAACCAAGAGTGTTTTTTCACATCAGTCTCTGAGCTGATTAAGTGATTTAAGAGTAGGGGTATTATTGGATTAAGGTTAATATAAATTAAGATTATAAAGATTAGTGAAGTCAGCTGGCATCATTATCACAAAACAGTCTTAAAGGAATTGACATCCTTCATGGGTGTTTACTCTGAAATGACTAAAGGAGCTAAAGTTTTTAATGTATTGTATGATGTAGGGGGCGTGCTAATTTAGGGTTAGAGGTACTGTATATAGAAGCGTATCATCCATGTACAACCCCATTTTATGGTGTTGATCACTTATTGCTATACCCTGAATATCTGGGTTGCCACAGATCACACTAGCCAAGGGCTCCACTGTAAGGATGTAGAGAATGATGGTGAGAGTGGGCAACCCTGATGCATCCCAATGTCAGTGGAGACTGGGTCAGAAAGAACACCATTTACCATTTCTGGCCATCTGTTGGTCATAGAGGGCCATCATTTTGTCAAGGACATTTTTGGTTATGCCAGTCTGTTGTAATGTAGCATTAATGAAAGTCCAGTCAAAGCGATGGGTAATAGTTTGGTTATCATGAACTTCTTTCAGGGGTACAAAGCCTACTTGTTCAGTCTGTCTAAAAGTGAGTATATGGGGTTTTAGCCTGTCACTGTACATTTTTAAGTCAACATTTATCAGTCAGTTGTCACTAACGCTATTTAATAAAATTGTTCTTCTCGGGCCTTGGATTCCCCAAGGTGTTCGCTTGTGTTATTAGAGCTGCCCTGGACTTTACTGAGAAGAAGTTTTAGTTTACTCCCAACCTAAAGGATTTTTCTTACATCTCAGTTGGCTACCGTGGAGGAGGAGGGTGGAATTTGAGGTTACTTTTAGTGTTTCTACCACTCGTCCATGACAGGTCAGCATCTCACCCAGTATCATAACTTGGTCGAATTCAAACCACTGAGACTTGTGGGCAGAGTCAGGCTTTAAATCTCATCTGAGTGTTTCCTGTCCTTTTCAGGTGAAAAGACCAGTCTTTCAGTTGGCTGCCATGCAGAAGTTGTGGAAACAGATATTCGGGATTCCTCATACTGGTCATTCTGTGCAACTCTATCATGTTTATACTGTTTCGAAGATGATCTTTTGCCAAAATAATTTTTTAAATTTTGACATTTTTAGCTAAATCGATTTCATTATTTCACTGAAATTACTGATTTTCAATTCGGCCAAAATGTTGTCAAAATAAGCCTAAAAATTTGCCATTTGGACTGCTTTGGAAAAATTATTTTAGAGAA